GTATAGGAACACGGCGAGGGCGAAACTTCAGACTGTAGCAGACGAGAGCAGACGCCAGGGAAGATGTATAAGGAGATTAGAACGTTGCGCTCGAATCACCTCGAGCTTCGTCTACGTTGCTCGCCTCGCGTACCTTCCCGTGCTCCAACGAAACTATTCGATTCGATTTTGCAACTCCAACCTTTGCAAGCGTAGGCAGACGTTGGACAATGTCCAACCGGATTAAGCTGTTGATTAACCGCCCGTTCTTTCCACGCAATGTATACGGTTGTACGCGAAATTTTACTCTGCGTCTCTCCTCGTTGCGATGAAAATGCAGCAGCCTTTTTAATCAACTCGCAGCTTGCTAATCGACTACAAAACAGACAATACCTAACCAAGTACTTGGGATTAGTACACCTTTTTCGAATAAATGCGAAAAGATTCGACCATCCTTTCTCTCTAGGGCTGTTGAGTTGAGATTTGAAGAATCTCAGGTAAATGGCACGACGATTCTCGCAACGAGACGTTAACCGCAATGTGAATTTCTCCTAAAGGGGAACTCGATCGTGCGAGACTGTCTTTTCGCTAGAGGCCATTTAAATGTTTCGATCGAGCCGCTGTCACCATTTCGCAATGAGTGCGTCGAATCGTCGTTCGAAGGGCAAGAATCGACCATCAAGGCACCAGCGAAATTGTTCTTTGGTTGGCGGTTGATGGCCAGATGGAAAAGGAGATGGCAGGATCGAGAGTGAGCTGGACGTCAGTTGTGTGACGTCGGGACGTCGGGACGTCGGACGTCGGACGTCGGATGTCGGATGTCGGAGGAACGACGAGTGCTGCGTCGCGGTCGCGGTCGGGAGAGGCAGCGCCTCTCTTCGGCTCGTTACATACCCGGTGTCTAGCGTTCGGGCGCGTTCGGTTCTCCCTGGCACCGAGTTGCCAATGAGTGCCGCGACTCGCGACGCAGCACATACGTTGGTAGGTTCGTAGGTTGCCAGTTTGCCAGTCGGCCACAGTTTGCCAGTCACCGAGACCAAGCACGATCCACTGCTGTCTGCCTGCCTCTTGAAACTACCGAGTTTACGGTTTACGGTTTACGGTTTACGGTTTACAATTTACGGTTTACGGTTCATAGTTTACGGTCTACATAGTTTATAGTTTGCAGTTTACACAGTTTGCAGTTCACAGTTTATAGTTTACAGTTTACAGTTTACAGTTGGATGATCGAGAGAGAGAAAGAGAGAGAGAAAGAGAGAGAGAGAGAGAGAGAGAGAGGAGAACGGCGCGTTCCAAATTCGAAACACACGTATCTTCGGAGACACACGTAATACTGGCCGTATTGATCGGAGAATAATGTTCGAACGGTTGTGTCATGTAAATTCCGCCTACGCTTCCGACAGCCACGTCGAACATGTCTAAAATCGTTCGGAAGGCTATATCGATTCGGCAGGCAACGCTACGCAACACGTTCGGGTGAAGTGAATATACGAAAAGTAGTGTGTGGCTGTGTCGTCGCGTCGAGCTTGTGCAGCGTCGTCGCGTCGTCGCGTCGTTCCGCGCCACTCGCCGCGATTTGTTTTGACATGTGTGTGTTCTGCCATATTGGATTAACACGTCGTACTTTAAGAGTTAAATAGGCGCGAGTTTCGCGCTAAACAGGTACGTTCTCTCTCTTCTTCTTCTTCTTCTTCTTCTTCTTCTTCTTCATTTTCCTCTCGGCCTGCTCGCCGCATGATACATAAATAAATACGTCGCGCTTCTAGAGCCAAGTTAGAGCCAATCGCGCGCAGAGAAGATCAACTCGAATCTCGATAAATATGCTCCTCCTCCGTAATCCTTCGTAATCCTTTGTCTCTCTCTCTCTCTCTCTCTCTCTCTCTCCACCATCGCGTCTTCTTTCTCTCCTCCGTCCTCCTTCATTCTCCATCTTCCTCGTGTCGATCGCCTTCGCACGCCATCCACATCGTCCATCGAAGATTTATATCGCCCTGAGCTCTCTCTCGAAAAATGGCCGTCGCGTCCTTTCCATTTCATTCGCGCGAACCAACACTACACGTATACGTACTGTGCTCGCTCGTAAATGCAACGCAACGCAACGCAACGCAACGTTGCGCACGGCAAACGCACGAAGAAGAGAAACGCGTCCTTCTTCCCCGCGGAAGAAGAACACGCTCGTTAATTAACGCGCGTTACGATAACGTAACACGTACGTTAATAGCTGCGCCTGTCCACGTACGTGTATATATATATCGCGGAGCGTCCGTTTCGGAGCAACGAAGCGATATCCCTCCTTTCTATCTCTACGCAACGTCTACGCAAACTTTACCAACGGCGCCCCGCGTCTTATTTACCAATAATTGCGCGTCTGCCTGAAGGCTACGAAACGAAGGTTACGAAACATGCGTTGCGTGGAACAGATCAAGAGGACACTCGTGTTTCCGAGTCTAGGAAATATTGATTGCGGCGGCTCACCATCCACTCTCAGACCGAGACTAGTCTTCCACATTCGAAACAATAAACGTAACGTACACGCATATCGAGAGAGAGAGAGAGAGAGACAAGAAGAGAATCGATCTCTTTCCTGATGACAGCTCGGCCTCCAGCCGATTCTCATGTCGATAGGTGTGTGTGTGTGTG